CATCACAGATAGACAAGACCAGGTCGAGTCATCTGGATAGAACGCCGTACATCAACGGTCTCACAGCGCGCCGTTAAGACGTAACCGCTGTCGTTTCGCTAACAAGCAGCTAACGAAATCCTGACGAGAACGAGGTTAGGCTTAACCAGACGTAATCGTCACACTGGCAATATTTCGTGCGAGGCATTCGAAGGAGCTGCGGCTGCAGGCGGCGGAAACTCTGCCGTATCCAGAGCCCCTTCCGCCGCCCGCCTATCTGCCTCCGCCCTTGTCATGGCTCCTGAGCAAGAGCCCGGTTCGTGCTGACGGCTTGGCGGCCCTCTTCGCGGGCACCGCAGGCGGACTCAGGATCGACCATAGAACCTGGAGTCTGCAATATCATCCCGACCACGTGCAGGTGAGCCAAAAACACGGATCGAATTAATGAGGAGACCTGTACAGTTTCTGAACAGAAACCCATTTAACCCTTTTGGTGAATATCTACATCTGTACAGCTTTTTTGCGCGTTTTCACTTTCGAAAACGTGATAATACGTGTGCCTGTACACTTTTGCGCAGGTCAAGAACGCAAGCGCCCTCGAGGCCTTCGAACGGCACTATGGCTACTTCATTGACGACGAGCTTAGGGGGCTCGACTCTTCGGCGCGTGCTGAGAAGGTCGTCTCTATCTACTCCACGGCGCTCTACGCACCCATCAACGAGCACCGCTTCGGGCCGGGCACCTTGGCGCAGAAGCTCGGCGGTTTTGAATGGCAGTGGTGGCTGATCGTGGAGGCCGATTTGGTGCGGGAGTATCGGAGGTATCTGGAACGATTCGATGCACATGGTGCGGCTGCCGCAGCGGCAAGCCAAGCGGTGGACGCCGTGCGGGAGCGGTGGTTCGAGAACGAGATCGATAGCAAGTTCAAGAGCTCGTTGGCATACTCGCGCAATGTCGAGTAAGGCGTTCGTTTGGCGCCAGTTTTTTGATCTTCCCCTAAGTAAGACACTGAGACCTTCGACACCATGCAGGGCATCATTGACTCTCAAGCCAAGAGGTCCAATCAAATCGAAGATTTCTACAACGGATGCCTCGACAAAGCTGTAGGCCGAATCAAACGCACATATACTGAGGAACGATGCACGAGCATGATTCTGAAGGTCGGTGAAATCGCTGGATCAAGAGCATTTCTCCCCCCATACTCAATGCGCGATCTGGTCAAGGTGGTACGCTTCGGGCTTGAAAAAGCCGGAGTTCGAGTGCATAAATGCCGCGATCCCCACCATCTTTCCGTCGATTGGAGGGGTATCCTAAAGAAAAGCGCCCAACCGTCGGATGCTAGAGCGATTCACAGCAAACGTAAGCATGTGGCTGCGGATGGTGGGTCACACGGTTTCATCTTCGATGGGGAGGGCGGTGGAATCCCGATGCTGGATGTGCTGATGAACCCCGCAAAATGCAAACCGGAATATCTTTGCAAGCAGAAGGCAATCGATGTGACGAGTTAGCACCCATGCCCCATCCCCCGTTCGTAAGTCCGAACGATGTTCGACCGATTCTAATAGCCAGATGATGAAGAATCGTAATCGTCGGTGACTGGGGGCGCTCGGCGTCGTCGTCGGAAGCCCTTAGGTTTTGGCTGCATGTTGAGCGCTTTAGGAGTCGTCATCGCTTTTGACTTCCTTCGGTTTGCTTGTGCAGTCAAAGCCTCGAATGCTTCGATCGAAAGCTTCGTAGCGCTCGTCCTATAAGACCCCTCAAAATGCATAGCCTGAGGCCTCAGATTCTCTGGCAACGCATGGAGAGATACCTGGTATGCATACTCTTTGTGTTTGCTGGCCCTCGTTGTCTCCATCAGCAAAACATATGCCTTGAATGGAAGGGTTGCTGACCTAGGGGCCGACACTTTGAGCAACCGATATAAAGCACTACCGGCTCTGCAACCCGCTTGTACGACGCGGCCTCGCTCTGCATCGATCTCGAGCCGCGAATTATCCAGCTTGCTGGATTGATCCGAACACTTTGCATCAAGTGCCTTCACAATCTTGAATGATCGTCGATTTCTCTTGTCTCTGAGCGGCCGATCTTCCATATCCAATGAGATCATAATAAAATGCAGCAGGGGTCGGCGTGAGAGCGGCTCCCCCTGATGCCTTTTTGGAGTCTGTCTGTGGATAACTAAAAGCATGCCCCGTCAAATGTCCACTCGTCAAGCGGAATGCACTATTAAATGCGAACGGCCTCCCTTGTCTTTTAGAATACTCCAATGTTTATTTACAGTAAATAGTACTGCTGATATTTTACACCCAAAGCGCTTTGATAAATTCATTGTTTTATAAGCGTCCGAACGCCTCGAAAAAGATGCCCATAGCCCCTTGGAATAAGGCCTCGTGAAATCGGACTTCCTTACCCAGAGCGCTTGCTTCGGATTATTCTGAGAATAATATCTTACGGGAGAGTATCGTCCCCATGGCAGCTAACCAGTCAGCACCAGCAACCGATGATGATGTTAAGAGAGTCATATGCGGCGAGAGTTTCTGTCATAACCTGCTAAATGACGGCATCGCAAGGGCCTCGACGACTTGTATTCAGTACATGGCAAGCCTGACTGTGATGTATAAGCTGCTGAACAGGGGAACGGTTATGCCGCCCAACATCGAGTGGATTCGCGACGACATCGACCGCCTCATCCCCTTGCTGGAAAAAAAGTACACAAATAAGGGGACACTTTGCAATAAATATACGCCGTTGATGACCCTGTCAAAGCAGCAAGGGTGGATGGATTCGTACAACCGATACTATCGAAGCTTCTTGATCGCAAAAACAGCGCAAATCTCTCAGGCAGGATCGCAGAAAGCCACCGAAAAAGAAGAGGCCAATTGGATCGACATAGGCGAGATCAAACAGAAGATGGAAGAGCTAGGACGGCGCATCATGCGCCAAATCCTCCCCGAGTTCCGCGCGAGCCGGAGGCCGCTCGGTCAAGACGAGGTGAAGTGTGTTTTTCAACACCTCGTGCTGGCGGCAAACGTCCTCGAACCTCCCAAACGACGTGATTGGGGTAACCTTCCGATTCGGAAGCTGGACGGCACCTTCTACAATGAAGCAGCGAAGGCCCTATACGAAGAGTTTGGCAACGAACTGGTCGAGAAAGCCACCGATACATATGTCATGGTCCTGAAGACGTTCAAAACTGCCAAAAAGTTCGGTCAGCAGGAGTTCGAGTTGCCAAAAAGGCTCTCGCACTACATTCAGCGCTCGATCGAGCTCGTTCCCAGGGCGTACTTCGTGACACTGCTGAGCGATCTCGGCCAGCCCATGAATGATAACTATTGGACGCAATTCATTCGAGAGATTCCGTTTTCAAAGGGCCGCCACCTCACGACGAACCATCTGCGGCACGTATTCGTGACCGATAGATACAACAAAGACGCCTCCCTCTCCGATCGACAGTCCGTTGCTGGCCGAATGCTGCACTCCGTTTCGACCCAGATGCGTAGCTACGAGAGGAAGCGGAGCTAAGTGGCTTCAATCGACCTGTCTGATACGAACCTCATCAGGTTGTCCCCTTCCTCAAGATTTTCGAAGGATTGAGGAGTCGTAACGGGAAACCCTGCATTCAACAACCTCTCAAGCATCCGTTTTTGTGTCTTCACTCCGGTTTGATACCTCTCATATGCTTGTGCTAGAAGTATTGAATCCTTTTTTCGTGCGTAATAGCGTCTACCGGATCGTTTGTGGGCTTCGGGGTCGCGGAAGTAGTTCCTTCTGGCTGTCAGGCAATGCCTGCACTCGCAAGTGAATATCTCGTTGTCGTAAGTGTCTTTTAAAGGTTGGTCTGCGGTCGAAGACGACATCACTAATCTGCAGCTAGAAAATATTCCTCAGACATCGCCCGCGCCGCGTTTATTCCTCGTGAAAATTTCCTTCTTCCATTGGAGAGAGAACCTCAGCATGCAAAACGCCAACACCCCTTGCTCCCTCGAGCACACCATCGACGCGCCTGCAATCGAGATCCCAGAGACTCTGCCCCCCGAGGAAGAGGATGCTGTGACCCACGGCACCCGAGACGTCAGACCTGCGTCATCCAACGGTTTGAGCATCAAGGATGAGATATTGCACCTCGCTGACCACGGACTGTATGGGATCCCGGTGCACATCAAGATCGATTCTCGTGGCAAGAAGCGGAGCCGGTTTCCTTCCACCTACGCGCACATAGTCACCGTGGACGATTGGCAGGAACACATCGGTACAGTGCTCGATGCATTTGAAAACCCCAATGGAGTGGCTATACTGACCGGCACGAGTGGCCTATTCGTCATCGATATTGACGTGGCGGATACCAGCGATAAGAAGTCGGGAATGGACTTCTGGCACGGGCAAATCATTGAGCATGGAGAGCCGGAGACACTCTCCGTTCGCACGGGCTCTGGAGGCCTCCATTACTACTTTCGGCTCGACAAAACCACCGGCTTGCACGAAACTACCAATTTTGCTGGACTCACGCTCGATGGGCAAAAGTTCGGCGTCGACGGCCGCGGCATGGGAGGGGTAATCTTTGCACCGCCGAGCAGGTACGGGGAAGGCAAGGATACACGCCGCGAGTACACGTGGGTGGCCGGAGGCGATGGTAAGATCAATGGTATGCCCCCGGGGCTCGTGACCTTAATAAACCGAGGGCGCGCCTCGGAAGGGGTTTTGAGAAATGCAAAAAGCCGAGTGCCTCACCATAAGGAAGTCCATTCTGAGGAGGTCACGCCAGAGGCCGTCGACAACGCAGAGGCTGGCGGCCCCGCGGCCAAGGCGGCTCCGGGCTTGGCGCACGTGGAAGTCAAGCAATTGGTGAGGGAGAAGGCGAAGGATTGCTGTTCCTTCTATACCGGCTCGACCATCCTACCGGACGGCAACAGATCGTTTCAGTTTAGGGTCAATGGGCCGCGCCAGTGCTACCTTGGGAAAACGCACAGAGGGTCCAACAATTTCACGGTGATTCAAGGGTGCACCGGTGACTTCCAGGAGCTTTCTTACAATTGCTTTGGGTCTGGTTGCTGTGGCAGCAAGCCGAAGCTACTGGGGCGTCTCACGATAGCCGGTGCTCTCGAGCAAGCTGGGGGTGGTGCTTTTGGGCCCAAGGATCAGCAGCCGTCGAGCCTCACTAAGCTGGCCGCTAGGTTCTCCGAACCGTTCATGTTGTCAAACGTAAGTAAGAGCGATTTCGGGAGTGCTCTGATATTCAGCAAACTATTCGAGCATGACAGGCGGGTCGTGTATGACTCAGGGAGATTTTGGACGTGGGATGCAACGAGTTGGGTGCCCTCCGATATGGAGGCAACTCTGCTGAAGACCTCGTTCATGTACCACATGGGACGGGTCAAATCCTTTTGGTGCGATCGCCTAGAACGAGATGCTGCAGAAAGGGTTCAGCCGTTGACTACTCGCAGAGACAATGCTGTGAATGAACTACAATCTAGGGCCCCGCAGAGTGCGGACAATAACAAGAAGGACGTCTTGAAGGCCATCGAAAAGGCAGAGAAAGCTATCATGGCAGACTTCAAGACGGAGCTGGATAAGATACCCAAACCGGTGTGGCATGGGGCTGAAGTCGAGTCTGTCCCAATCGCTCACAGGTGTCTCATTCCTCTGAAAGTGAATTTACGTGTGCGGGATTTTGCAAGCTCGCTGAATGCCAATCGGGACTACTTGAACACCACATGTGGCGCCATCGACCTCCGAACGGGGGAGCTCGTTGCTCACCATCCAAGCAATATGCTCTTAAAAGAGATTGGCACCCTTTATGAGGGTGCCAGTTACCCATCGCCGCTCATTGATCAATTCATGGCTGAGGTGCTGTCCGAGGACATAGTTCCCGTTATGCAAATGACGCTCGGGTATGGCATCACTGGGCACAGCAAGGAAAAGCAATTCATCGTCATGCATGGCCCTACGAACAGCGCAAAGACAAAACTCGTCACCATGGTCCGAGAGTGTACCGGACCTTATTGCGTTTCTATGGCCCGAGATTGCGTCATAGGCGCAGGTCAGCACTCAGAAGGGGCTGCCACGCCGCATCTTCTTATGCTCGATGGAGCGCATATTGCTGTCCTCGAAGAGACTGAGGACTCGGATATATACAATGGAGCATCGGTTAAGGCAATCGCGTCCGGCGATGGAAGCATGACGGTGAGGGGGCTGCACAAGGACCCCGTTGAAGTCACTATGAGGTGCCTACCGATCATATGCACCAATTCATTGCCAAAGTTCAATGCAGGAGATACGGGTACCCTCAACAAGCTGAGGATCTTTCCGTTTGAGCACGAGTTCGTGGAGAACCCGAGGCCTGGAACCAACCAGAGATTACGAGACACCGATCTCATGGACAAGATCAAGACCCCCGAATGGAGGAAGCAGATGCTAGCTTGGCTCGTGCGCGGCAGCATGAAGTGGTACGAGCCCCGGGCACTCTACCGACGGTCGAAGAGTTGCCTCCGGCCATGGGCAAGGCACTCGAGAGCTATTCGAATGACAACGACCACTTTGGGAACTTCATCATGGACGGATGCATCATACAGCCGAGCCAGAGGTGCCATGTGAGGCCTCTGAAGGAGGCGTACGAGATATACATGGGCAGACTCCAACGTCCGATGGTCGAGAACGACTTCAAGACTCTGATGAGGCAACTCATCCCAAATGGGGTCGTGTACTCGCTCGGCGTGAAAATCGAGCGAATCAATACCACCGGCTACAGAGGCATAGGGCTGCTCGACCCGAACGAAGAAGCATGGGACTTGGAGGGGGAACAACAGGCGGCAGACGAGCAAGTCGCGAGAGGTAGGTGAGGTAGGTGGAGGTAGGTGCAAAGGTAGGTGTCGAAAAAAGTCCGTTCTCCGAATGATTTGCGTACTGTTTTGTTACTAGGTAGGTAAAGTAGTTATAAATTTCTTTTTTTATATATAGAAGAGAAAAGGATTTCCTTCCGATCCTCCTCCACCAATTGCTTTTTTTTTTTCTGTATACATAAAGAAAAGTTGGAAGATAACTACCTACCTACCTCAACTACCACCTGAATTCATCGACTGATCATAGGACTGGAACCCTGTAGGACTGCAACTACCTCAACTACCTCCCTAAGAGCACTGCCCTAAAGGCCTCGCTCCACAGCCTCGCCGGCACGGCTATGGACAACTTGGCGTCGTCTACCCTGCTCAGGTCGAGGTTGAAGCCGCTCAGCAGGATTGGGAGGAAGACCATTAGACTCTGGAGCCCAGAGTACCACCCAAGCACCCGGAACTTCTTTAGAAAGCTGTTCACGCTCTCAACGGCAGAGGTGTTGACCCATCGGAGGGCGTCGTAGTACTCGGTGGCGTTGCTCGGGCCGCACTTGTGCACCTCTGCCCCGGCTTTCGCATAATGAAACCTGCATGGAAGCGAACGGCGCATGAACAAACGCACAATCGTAACACCTTCACCCTTTGCTGGAATGACTCGATCTGTGCAGGAATCGACCTGCAGAAGCCGAAGCTTTTGATTGAGCAGACGCTTACCTGTCAACGACGAAGGTGACATCGGAGAAGAACGCCGGCTCGCGGCGCATGCAGTAGTTCCTCAGCTGGCATGCGTTGTCATAAACAACGAATTTTGGGAGATCCTCCCGGTCCTTGCGCGTGTACAAAACCGCGAACGCATCGCGGGGGCTCTCCCCCCGGAGGAAGAAGTGGAAGCCCGAGATGACCCGGTGCGGACAACAGAAGAGGAAAGCACCCCGGCTGCGGTGGGGGCGCTTGCCCTTCTTCGTCGACTTGCTCCCCCCCTTGACCAGCCCGGGGACGTTTGCGGCGTCCCACTCGCCCACCGTCTGCCCGGTAGCGCATTTGAACTCCTCCGACGTCCTGCTGCGCCCGTCCTCGTGCTCGAAGGACGTGTATCGCGGCAAGCCCCGTCGCTGTTCCCACCCCGGCAGCGCGTAGTGCCCCAACCC